TTGGAGAAGGGGGGGTTTGGTGGTGGCGGGGTGGGCAGGTTTGGGGAGATGGTGGAGGAGGGGTTTGATCCGGTGAGTATGTTTACGAGTGGGGAGGATGTGTTTTTTGGGACGGTGTAGGGTTGTTGGGTACCTACCCAGGAGAGGTTGGAGGGGGAAGGGTTAGGGGGAGGGGTTGAAGAAGGAAGGATTGTTTTCTGGGTAACTGATTTTGGGGATGGGGTATGGACATGGACTGTGGGGAGTTTGGGCGCCTGTCGGCGGTTTTCTTTTGTCATCGATTGAAACCTACCAGCGCGACGTGGTCTCCCGGCGCTGGTCAAGTTTCTTGGAGGTTGTGGGATGTGGTGTATTCATATGGACCTTCTCTTCATGGGTGTGTACAATTAGGCGTGGGACTTTTCATGGGCATGGATACCATGAGATCTTCGGAAGAAGATGGCTTCTTGGAGGGTTTTATTTGTTATTTTCTAACTCACTTATAGCGTTTTCTTTTGTCTCCGAGAGTAGATGATGGGCTTGGATGACTGGCGCCCCGGACTGGATATTTACTTGCCATTTGGCTCTGCTTCAAAATTTATATTTTGTTTATGTTTGTTGCATTCCATCCTGGGGTCAGCTTCACCGCATGATAACCGTCTTGGCCCTCTTGGTCCAGTCACACCTCTTGCCATCTGAACAACATGATTCAAACCCTCATTGTCCCCGATTTGCAATAGATATTACAACTTCTGTGCATACCCCCGAGGCACAGGCGGCGAAGTTGGGTCACCTCTCGTCGGCCCTACAAACCTGGCATACAAGCCCATATAGAGCCGTCCCAGGCTTTTGTGACAAGGCAGCCCTTATTCTGGTCCGATATATGGGTCGAGTATGCTGAGAAAGCCGGTTCCACGAAGTGGCCGAGAGCTTGCTCCCTACTCGCCACCAACACTTGGTGAAGGAAACCATTAGATTAGCACCCAGCTTCTTCCTGCTTTGAACAACGACAACTCGATAATCATTCCCATTAAAACGCTTTGCGTGCTAATTGAAGTCGCCGACCAACCCACTCATGAGTCTTTACCTATGAGAAGCTGAAGCGGAACCGGTCGACAATAGGAATGCATCGTGGAATGCTCAAGTCGGCACTTTTACAATTTGGGAATTAGATCGACGCCTTCGTCAAGACTGCACAAAAGATTGACATCCACTTCACTGTCAAAACTGGTGCGAGCACCAGCGGGCATTGTCGTGGAAAGGTTGGGTTGATGTGCTCAGCCTGACCCAGTCAGAGTACGGTATAACCGGCAAGGTGATTCGCCAGTTCGACGCCACGGCCACCTCTACTCTATCTCACACCGTCGGCGCCCTGAACTGGAGTGCCAAGAGAAGGATGGTGAGAGACTCTGGGTGGAGTGTGCGGCAACCATACCTTTGGTTCGGAGGTGAGTTGCATTTATTGTGGCCTTGACGGGAGGGCAAACAGTCATCTGTACCTCGGGATCCTGCGTGCTTCCCTCATCTGGCTCTTGCTGTGATAGTCTTTTTTAGGTTGGTCTCGCCTACGTCCTTCAATGTTGCGAGAGACCGAAATGACACCGCTTTCAAGACTGCATTATCATTATTACAATACTAGGGCAAGATAGCTGTGTCTAAATTAGTTCCTTTGATTACATCCATTATCTATACAAACGTTGCGCGTCCTTTAGGTACCTTACTTCAGCTTGTCGTGACACGTAGTTGTGTGAGTGGGGCGAGTCAGCAACAGTTAAGTTTGCAAGCACGAGTAAGATCCGTATTGTGGCTTTCAATTCCCGGCTCGGTGATTTCTCCGATGTATTCGTACTTGAGCCATCTTTACCTCTTACCGAAAAGTTGGCCAAACCGTTGACCGAGCTTCATGCAAAGTCTTTGATAAAGGAAAGCCAGGGACCAACCCCTGAGAGGATTCAACAGCAATCTTGGAACTGGCAGGGCAGGATCAATTGAGCAGAGACGGATGCTTCCGAGGTGGTTGCGTCGCTGAGGCTGTGCACGCAGGTACGGGTTATGCAACCACCCCGCCGTGGAGCCGTTCCGTCATTCGGTTCGAGCGGTGTTTGCTCGTGTTCATTCGGAATTCCAATTTTGTCGTCTGACGACCGAAAGCAACGCAACACAAGTGATTGCCAAAAAAGAACAGAGTGTCTCGGCCTCGACTCTGCAAAGGCCTAGCCAGCCGAGCCGGTTTTCTGCAATTCTCACCGCCAAAAGAGGGACGGAGGAAGAAGAATCGTTCCCCCACCCTTCCCCGTGTTTCTTGTTTCAAGTTGCCGAATCCTGGTCGCGCTGCACCTCGAAGACCGGAATCGAGACCACAACACGTTTTCTGCAGGGACGGGACATCCTGGCCGTTTGGCCAAGAGAGCTGCGACCGAAGCGGCCAGCACTCTTCGTAATCTGTACACAGTATTTATGTGATTTATCCGGCCCTTCACAACCTGCTTGTGCGTCCTCGACAGGTGTCACCTTGAATAATTGGAGGTGGGTGGCGTGCCGATAAACCAGCCAGCAAACCACAGCAAAACTGTACTGCGGGCGCTCAGATGGTGGTCGCTGTTAACACGCAATATGGAATTCGCCCGAATTCGCCTTGAGGCTTAACAGAAATTGCTCGCCGATAACAGATTGCAGTTGGCGGGACTTCTGCTTCCTTCGAGCGATCGGCGTCCCCCTGAAATTACCTCGAGCTGGCGCGTTCGGCCTAGCCAATGGCCAGCTGTCAGGACATGGCTTGTGGATGGCACACTGCATGATTGGCCCAACCTGCCGTTCAAAGAATCCACCGCGCTACCCCCGAAGAGGAATGGTTCCAGGGGTGGAAGTGCGGTGCCTTGCTTCTCTCTGGTCAGGAACGGCCGAAAGAGCAGGGGTCCTTGTGCAGGACTGCCCCGGCGTCATCCCGAGGTCCCCAGTGCAATTTCGTTCTCGCTTCCCCTGTGGCTCGGAGGACGAGGCCTTTGTGGGTTTCGCTGTCTCCCTTCCTGCCTGACTTCGTCCTCGCAACAAAACGACAGTCATTCTCTCCAGTCACTCCTTTGAGCCATCGTGTATGTCCTCACTCCACCTTGGGAAAGTCATTTTCGGCCCTTCCAAGTTGCATCGTTGCCCATCAGCACGCTGCGGAAGCCAGGAAATGCCCCCTCATTTGTAGCGCCAGGCCGCTAAAAAGGAAAAACGCAGACAAACGTCGGCAACCACCGCCGACCACACAACACTCGTTCAGCAACTTGCGGTTCATTTCCGCGGGGACGCAAACCCGTTCGTTCGTTTTTCTGTTTGCCTTCAGTCACAGGCACTCGTTCTTTTCTCGAAAGGTGCTGTGAGCCGCTGGTCGACGACAGCCGAGACGTTTGCCGCCGAACGACAAGCTTCCGAAGAAGCCGACGATACAAATATACGCCCGATTCGCCAGCCACAACCACCTTACAAAGCGAGACTGACGGTGTCTCCGCCTCAACCACCGCACGACAGTCAGGCAGCGATTCCTCCGACGCATTCATAATGAGGTCTATGGTTTTGATCGCCGCGGCGGCTGTCGCTTTCGCCGACGCGCTGCCAGGGAACTTCATATCCGTTACTCCAGAGAGGAAACATGCCGAGGTTGCGGCACGGTACGTGAAGGGTGTGCAGCAGCCCGATAGAACCACCCACGCTGTCGGGTTCGACGATCCAAGGGTGTTTCAAATCTGCGGGCAAACTCAAGTTCCAGAAAATCATTGAATGGAACACGATCGGGTCATGCGGCAACGATCTCTGCCGCGCAGAGGGCTTCGAGGTTGGCGGCACGACAGGCGGGAACCAATGCTGGTGCGGCCACAAGTACCCGCCCAAGGATGATCTGGTGGACTCCAAGAATTGCGATGTCGGTTGCACAGGTTTTGGCGAGCACGCATGTGAGTTGTTGCTACATGGAACTGTCTAGACCAGGGAACTAACCGAACTGGCCAGGCGGTGGCCTTGACTTCTGGACCATTTACCACACCGGCATTACGCTGTCCGTTAAGTACGAAGACTCGCCCAAAAAATCGACAAGCTCGGACGCCCCCAAAGCGACGGAAACCGACTCATCCCCCCAGGAGACCGTCGTAGTCACGGCGTCGCCCACCAGCGAGCCGGAGGGCGAACAGGGCTCTGGCAGCAGCCCCAATGTGGCCGGCATCGCCGCCGGAGTCGTCGTAGGAGTCGTAGTAATTGCGGCGTTACTGGGTGGCGGCTATTTATACATGCGCCGCAAGCGGAACCAAGAGATCGAGGAGGAGCACCGTCGTAACGCCGCAGTCAATGCCTTTATCGGCAAACCTCCTAGGAGCAGCGGAGGCACATCCACAACGGATTCCCGGATGGACCCAGTGATGGCCCACCGGAGGATGAGTGACGGCAGCATCGCCGACAACCAAGATTACTCCAGGAGGATCCTTCGTGTACGTTCCATTTTGGGTGCGCGCCAGAGTGCATTGCTAACAAGCCTAGGTCACCAACGCATGATCGCACCACCACAGTGATAACGACCAACGAATTCGCCTGTATTTCACATTTGCATAACCGGCGTTTTGGGGAAGGGTGGTGGGGGGAAGGCTATTCTACAAGTCTTATCGCGCACTCGGTGGCGGATCGACTGAGCCATCACACGAACGAAACCTACCTGGGGGCGTCTCTTTTTTCGTTTGTACGGTTGGCGCGGGCATCTCCGGGGGCTGCACACTTGGGTTGCTGTGTGGCCGGCCCGGCATGCTGTGCTGCTGCTCTCCCTTTCTCTTTCGTTACACTTTTTAGACCAGTACCCGAGTCCCCGACGACATTCATCATGTCTGACCGTCGGGCCTCACAACTTCTTTCAGAACGAGTCAGAAACAATCAATGGGCGCAGAATCCACTCCTCGGGGTCTTGTTCGGCGTGTTGTGTGAGTTCTTCTGCGGACGGACCTGCACTTTTACCCAGCTGCTTTTAATTAACCACAAACACCGAGTGGTGGACCGTTCCTTGCGCAACGAGGGGGCCTCCCTCCTAATGAACTTCCTAAAAAACCTAAACAGCCGCTTCACTTCTGTCATTGATAGTGTTGGGCCTCTCTAAAATTACTTCAATACAAATACAAACTTTAAACCTACTCGTCCTGTTCCCCCCCTCCGCAACGGCGGCATTTATTTGCCCCTCCTGCCACTTCCCGCTATTCTCCCCATGATGTGATGAGATCCGCAAAAGGCAAGCAGATCACCTGAAATACCCGGATCGTCGCCCCCCCTCCCTCCCCTTCCCTCCCGTCCCGCTTTTGCGTTTCCAACCTCCCGCAATTGCACACAGCTCGGTTCGGCTGCTCAATGGGAAATGGGGGGAAGAGAGGGGGGAAACACCTCTCTCATGCGGCTTGTCGATCGCGAGGCCCGAGCAGAGTTAGGTGCATACCTTCGGCAGTCTCGCAACAACCGCTCGTGCCTTGTTTCTTTCTTGTGGGGATGTATTTTTGCATGCTCGTTTTGCGTGGCGTGGCGTGCCAGCTTGCTTGCGTTGGACTTGTGAGGCATCCGAGGGGCTGTGCTCCCTTACCATGCTTGGAAATGAAGGTTTCGTGTTCACACTTGGCCTTGGTGGGCTGAGGTGACGGGACTTTGCCTTGTTTTTTTTTTTTCCTTTTTGCTTTTCGTTTCCTCGTTTCAAGTGTCCGGTGAGAGGAGGGGTCCGCCGATGGTGAAACGAAGGCAGCTGCTGCCTTTGCCAAGGTGGTATTGCGCCGACGGCGGAGTTAGGGTTTGTGCTGTGCTCGGGCTTGTCGGGACTCACGGCTTGCATTGCTGGGTAATGATCAGCTACGGGGATGGTTCGCGGTGGGTTGGTCCGTAATTTCCAAGGGGAGTTATTTTAGGAGAGGCTTTAACAAGGTGTATCGCGGTCTGAGGAAGATTCTAGATTGCTGTTCGGGTTTTTGCATTGTGCTGAGTTCCAAAGCCCTGGGTTCTCAATCTCGACTCGGGAAGTCATGGGCGCACAAGTGGAGCGAGCTTGGGGAGACCGTCCAGGTGGTCCGGAGTGGTTATCTCTCCCGGTGTTCCAAGAACCTGGCCCGCGGTAGCTCGCGGAAATCTGGGTTCGGACCCACGGGTATGTGCTCAAGGCTCTCCAAAAGCTTGACTGAGAAAAGAAAGGCTGATTTCGCCGTGAAGGCCGCCAATGACGAACAACAGTTACACTCATCCCTGTTGTTGATAAACCTTTATGGTTGTAAGGCGGAGCTCGGGGACAAGATCGTCACTTAACCATAACGACAGGAGTTCTGAGAGATAAAAAACCGTACAGGAGAAGTCGAAACAACAGGAAAAGAAAGAGCTCTGCTATTGAGGGAAACTCCCATGACGATCGCATCTTGAACTCATTTTTTGACCTGGGCAATTTGAATCCTCCTTTCGAACCAGCCCGAGGAATCGGATGCTTGGGACTGGTTGAGCCAAAAATAAGTTGATCAATTTCTATCCCAACTGCGGCCATGCGCAAGCGAAGGCGTTCTGGTGTTTTTATTCAGGGGTATTTGGTGATGTTTCGGAGGTCGGCGCGGCAACACCACTTCACACAATCGCCGACGTTAGCCGAGCCCGCCCGGACGTCATCCCACAACAAGGGAAAACGACAAAGCGTGGACTTCCAACAGCACCTCCACACCTCCAAGTCGCCGACTACAGCATCACGCTGCCGGACAATCAATCCACTCAAGATGCCTCCGAGATTTACTCTGACGCTCAAAGCGTCGGCTACCCTGCACGTCGCCGGCCGAATGGCGCCCCGAATGTGAGGACACAACCGAGACCACACCGGGCCCCTCATCCAATTACCCACCTGCCCGCCTCGAACTCGGGTCACATCCGCATCCTCGAGCTCAATCGACCGGCGGCACGCAATGCCATCTCCCGGGGGCTGCTGTCATCTCTGCGCGAAGAGATTGACGCCGTCCACGAGCAGTACGACGCCCGCAACGGGCGGAGGAAATCCCCCCCCCCCGACATGGAAAAAAGAAGTTCGGCGGCGCCAGCAGGGAAGGACCAAAAGGGCCCAACACGAGCCCTGATTCTCGCCTCAGCAGTTCGATAGCTCATTCTGCGCCGGGCGCAGACCTCAAAGAGCGCAAGACATTCACCCAGGAGGAGTGAGTCCACCCTGCCCAACCCAACCAACCCAAACCCCACCCCCCTCCATTTCCCTCCCCCGCTAACACCCCCTTTCCCTTTTCTCCCCCAGAAACGGCCGCATTCCTGCTCACCCTCCGCACGACGCTCACCTCCCTCTCGACCCTCCCCATCCCCACCATCTCCGCCATCTCCTCCCTCGCCCTCGGCGGCGGCCTCGAGCTCGCCCTGTCCACGCACTTCCGCGTCCTCACCTCCAACGCCGTCGTCGGCCTCCCCGAGACCCGCCTCGGCATCATCCCCGGCGCGGGCGGCACCCACCGCCTCCCCGCACTCATCGGCGTCCCGCGCGCGCGCGACCTCATCCTGACGGGCCGGCGCGTCTCCGCTCCCGAGGCGTATTTTCTCGGTCTTGCGGACAGGTTGGTCGAGGTCCCGCCCGCGGGGGGCGCGCAGGCGCAGGAGTTGGAGGGGATGGGGGAGAAGGAGAGGGAGGTCGCGGTGTTGGTGATGGCAAGGCGGGCCGCGCTGAGTGAGGCGGTGAGGCTGGCGGGGGAGATTTGTGAGGGCGGACCAATTGCGGTGCGGGCGGCGATTCGGGCGGTGGAGGAGCCTAGTGAGGTGGTGGAGAATCAGATGTATCAGAGGGTGGTAAGGACGGAGGATCGGGATGAGGCGTTGAAGGCGTTTGCGGAGAAGAGGGTGCCTGTTTTTAAGGGGAGGTGATGCCCTCGAGGGTTTAGTGGTTGTTGTTGCAATTGATGAGGGTAGGCGGTTTCGCCTTTGTTGCTGTTCTGGATCGCGGTAACGTGAGTGAAGATGGAAGGCGGCGGGGGAAATGTGCAGCAGAAATCCCACTGGCTGGCGCCCGTTCATAAGAAAGGTTTGCGTAGTTGATTTCCAACGAGGACCACGGACCGGGTAGCCCAGCGGTTAGGCGGTGGTCCTCGGCCTGCGAGCCTGCTAGTTCACCTTGCCAAAAACCCGGACTTAAGGGAGGTCATAGTTTCGAATCATGATGCAGCTCGGGGTTCCTCTGGGAGGCATCGGGCCGCCGATAGAGTCCTCCACCTCAGAACTACGAACGTAGCCTGCATTGGCCCGACGGGGCATCACCGGGTTACTGGGCACACGGAGTAAACCCAAAAAACCTAAGGGGGTTTCGTAACCGGCTACCTCTCTTCAACCGGCGAAGAGGGTTGGCCGGTGAGCTTTTGCTGTTATTTTCGACGATCTGTACTTTGCAACTGGCTCCCTCTATTTTATTTTATTATTTATATTGCCCCCGTGCCTAATAATTGGTAAATATCCCCAGTAAAGC